AAAAAAAAAAAAAAACTCGCACACCATGTCATAGTTGTCGTTAGGGTTCCAAGCTCTATACATGACAAATGAATGGCAAACACTAACGAAACACGGCTGCCTGCACATTCTGGTATGCAAGTGTATGCGGCTAGTGTGAGTCGTCATCACCACACTGAAGGACAAACATCGATAAGACATGTCAGCTGACAGGTACAGTGCGTGGACCCGCCAGAAGACCACACTTATCTCAGGCCATTATCTCCCTAACCGTTCAATTTTGAACATAGATATTTTGGGTTATATTGGCATATTTTAACATAAGGAATACCCTCCCGAAGTAAGGCACATTCCTCCTGGGACATCCTGTAAATACTGTGACGTGGATGGCGCAACAGGAAGTAGGGGTCGCGTGAACTCTGCAATGTCCTGAGTGACATCACATACCCCCAATCCTTCCATCTTTACGTAACGCTGGGTAAATACCCCCCCCGCGGTGACGTTGCAGCATAGATGCCGCTGCTACGGTAACAGGCCAGTAAACACTCCGCTCGCCCCCCCCGAGGTGACCAAACAGGGGTCACCGCTGTTAACACGGCAAAAGGGAACCGTGTAAAAGGTCTGCTGAGCAGTGTGTGATTAGGAGTGACAGTTTGGATCGTGATGTCACCGAGAGCATTGGAAGTATTGTCCTGCCGATGGCAGTAGTTGTGAAACTGAATTGTGTAAATGTAGGAGCGAGTGTTCAATAAATTCACTAGATCCAGAACACTCGCTCTTTCATTTACATAATTCACAGTTTCACAACTACTGCCATCGGCAGTATCACAATTACTTCCACTGTTCTCGGCGACTTCACGATCCACACTGTGTCACTCCTAAATCACACACCGCTCAGTCGGCCTTCTATAGCGTTCCCTGTTGCCCCATGTTAAAAGCCGTGACCTCTCTTACGTACCGAGGGGGGTGGAGTGTTTACTGGCCTGTTAACGTAGCAGCCGCTCAAATGCTGTTATGTCACCGGGGGTGGGAGTGTGTTTACAGAGCGGTGCGTAATAATTGAAGGAGTGGGGGTATGTGACTTCCCTCGCGAGAACGCATGAGTTCATGAGACCCCTACTTCCTGTTGCGCCATCCACGTCACAATATATTATGTATTTCCCACCTCTGTGATTCTCAATTATTGTCGGGGTTTCCTTGGCCAGTAAAAATCAAACACTAAATAACGAAATAGAACTGCTGATAGAATATGAAGTGTAACTAAAGAGGTTCTGCTTGTAGAATAAATGCTGCAGAATAGAACTTGCAACATACACGCATTTCGTGGCACGGAAGGTTTGAAAATTATAGGCCAAGGAAACCCTCAGTGACAGTAATTTAGAATGGCCCATATATTATCTCAATTCGTTTTAGTGTCTTCTCCATTATCCTCTGTCCTACTACGATGGTACAGGTACTACATGCCTTCAGACTTGATAGTAATGTTTCGATTTCACTCACTGTAATTGATTAGGGGTTGGTTGCACGATTTGTAGAACATTTAAGTACTATAATGTAGTACGTATAGTACATTCTCATCTTAAGATGCACATTATTTCAGTTCATGTTCCATTTTTTTCTGCATTATCTTAATGCATAATAGGATGGAAAAAATAGGTAAAGGTGCCCTGTAACAGGCCGTGGAAGCCTATGGGGTTGAGAGATGTTGACGCTCCCACATTTTCTAGACAATAGGCTCATAGTAGGCGGAAAGTTTGTCAGCCTTGTACGCCGGCCGCTCTTTACCCCCAGGAATATTCCAAG